GGAGCGAACGTGGGAGAAGGAAGGGGAGATGAGGAGGGAGAGGAAGAGGAGAAAGCAGCCAAAGGGCTTCATTTTTTTTAAATTTTTTTTTTGTTTTTAATTTTTATTTTTTTGGTTGAAACTCCTCGGGACAAAAATGCCCAAGGCTGCTTATGGCATAATCATGCAAAGGTGGGAATGAGGGCTGTTTTATAATGATAGAGAAGAGTGTTGTTTTTGAAGATGATTTGCATGGTGGGATGAAGGGGGTTATTTATTGCATGAGAATGTGGGATTTTTTTATGGTCAATTGGAATTCTAACACAGAAATTTAGGAGGCTTGGCTTGTTTTTCGCATGTTTTTTGTTTTTGTTTTTGTGTGAATGGATGGGAATAGAATGTGGTGAAAATGGATGGTGAATTGAGTTTTTGTGTTAAACTGAGGTAAAGTCTATTTACGAAAAAAAACTCGTTGTTTACAAACTACATCCAATCTCCTGCAATTTGTAAATTTTTACACCCAAACCCCCTATAAAAGGGGTGTTAATGTAAAACGTCTACAAATTGCAGGGATGATTGTAATCATGAAAACATAAGGATTTTTTTGTACATAGACCTTTACTTCAAGGGCGGTTGTAATTTACTCATCTAAATATTGTTATTGTATTCCGTAATGAAATACTAATAATTTAGGCATTTAGAAATACGATATATAAATCACCAAATATGGACCCTGGTAAATTTTGATTATACACTATTTCAAAATGAATATTTCATCCCAAATCCTTTAAAATATTAATTAATTAGTTCTAGTCCATGCTTGATTTATATGGTACATAAATGGTGGAAATTCTATGCATCAGGTTATTAACACAGGGTGATTGTTTTACACATAATCACTGACACTAATATGTATATATCCTTAGAAAATTGTTATTTAACCATATTTATAGTTAATAAATAATACCTGGTGTAAATAGTCCGATGTACTAATATATTAACTTTCTCATAAATTGTTTGTAGGGCCTTTTAACATGAAATTGGTTCCGTAATCGATCTACCCAATGCATATTATACATAAAAGAGTCAAAATTACATCAAAAAATCGAAGCTCAACCCTTCTTCAAGCTTGATTTCGAATTTTTGAATTTTTTTTTTTTGCTATTTACAGTTTTGGTGGGTTTTTTGATTTTTTTGAAAAGTTTTGGGAGATTTTGTGAAAAACCGCAAATAGCAATTTCTAACCGTAAATAGCATTTCATAATATTTATTGGTTGTTCTCTTTATATGGTCAAGTAAAACTACTACTTTTTACTTACAGACGAGACAAAGACAAGTTTTACGAGTCAACTCTTTTTTTTTTTTTTTTTTTTCTTTTTTAATTTGTATAAAAGTAAGAGTTTAAATTCTCACCGGATGAGTTGATTATGTACAATAATCGGATTCCATTCATATTATGCCACGTGGATGATTTAATTAACAAACTCTAAATCTAATTAAACTAAATTAAATTACCATAGTTGTAAATTTAGGGTTAACACTAACATTTCAAAAAATGGTTAACAACTAACGAAATAATAATAATAATAATAATAATAATAATAATAATAATAATAATAATAATAATAATAAACCTTATGTTCAACGGACGGGTTTTCGGGTTTTGGGTTTTTCGGGGTTTCAGGTTT